GTGAGTACGACATATAGTACGACTCAGACTTGCGCGAGAACTACCGACCTTCTAATAGTAGCACTCGCTACTGGATTGACTTGCGACGACCTTGTTAATAACATACCTTTATTCTTATTGTACTGGATTTTTACAATAAACCTTTACTTATTTTATCCACCTTGCTTTTCAAACATATATTCCTATTAGCACGGAATATAGCATAAAAAAATATATTTCTCATTCAATGAGATTTTGGCCAATACTGATACGTCGACATTGTTTTGCAGAAACAGAACTACCATTCCCTTCTGCACGATGGAAACGAGCCTAATGGTGTGTGTGTGGGGGGCATTTTTAAATTGCAGCTGTCGCCTACAGTTTTTATTGGTGGAACTATGCAATGTACAATTGGTGACAGAAAGCGTACATTACGGAGTTCAACTGAACATCGAAGTAAATTAGAGTAGAAAGAAGGAAGCAAAGAGAATAAAGATAAAAATAAGGGGAGGGAAGGAAAGAGGTAAAAGTAAGAAAGGAAGAAAACAAAGAGGGAAGGGTAGGAAGGAGATAAAAGAAGAAAGGGAGAAAATAAAGAAAAGTAAGAGAGAAGGAAAGGAAGGGGGTAAGAAGAAGAAATAGATAAAGAGAAGAAAAAAAAGAAATGGATAGAATAGAAAGAAAGAGTTATCGGTTAAAATAATTATCGGAATCTCGATTGGGAGTAAAAAAAAGGATCAAATAATAGAAAAGAAGAATGAAAAAGAAAAAGAATTAAAAATATCTTCTAAAATAAAGAGTATAATCAAAAATCATAAAATTCAATAGGCAAAGTCGTGACTAATTTCAGTGGAACCCGAGGCATCCCTTGAGGAAGAAGGAAGAGGAAAAGGAGTAAGAGTAGGATAAGGAGTAGGAGTAGGACGAGGAGGAGGAGAATAAAGAGGGGGAGAGGGAGGGGGAGTGGGATAAGGTGTAGTAGTAGTAGGAGGAGAATAAGGAGGAAGAGGATAAGGAGGGGGAGTAGGATAAGGAGGAGGAGTAGGATAAGGAGGAATAGGATAAGGAGAAGAAGAATAAGGAGGGGGATAAGAAGGGAGGAGGAAGAGTAGGATAAGGAGGAGGATAAGGAGGGGAGTAGGATAAGGAGGAGGAGGATAACGAGGGGGAGTGGAATAAGGAGGAGGAAGAGTAGGATACGGAGGAGGAGAATAAGAAGGAGGAGGGTAAGGAGGAGGAGGATAAGGAGGAGGACGAGGAGTAATAGGATAAGGAGGAGGAGTAGGATAAGGAGGAGGAGGAGTGTGATAAGGAGGAGGCGGAGTAGGATAAGGAGGAGGAGAATAAGCAGGAGGATAAGGAGGGGGAGTAGAATGAGGAGGAGTAGGATAAGGAGGAATAGGATAAGGAGGAATAGGATAAGAAGTAGGAGTAGGATAAGGAGAAGGAGAATAAGGAGGAGGAGAATAAGGAGGAGGAGAATAAGTCGTGTACGCTCTTTCCTGACAGATTAACATGTCGCAGTACAGTTTTATGGAATCTCAACATTTTCTTTCTTTTTATGTGCCGTGTCCCTTCAGGACGTAGGCGATCATGGCTCTCCACTTCTCCCTATCCTTTGTAGCTATCAATAAATTTTCTCCCTTTGCTACTTCACCCGGAGCCTGTTCTGTCATCCCCATTCATTTAAGCCCTCTAGGTATGTCATGCGTTGTTTTCCCTTGTCTCTCTTTGTCTCTATTCGACCTGTGAGTATCAAATTCTTCAAGCTGTCCTTTCTCATTATGTGTCCCAGAAATTTCAGCTGCCTCTTCCTGATGTTAAGTATAAGCTTTCTTCTTGTTTGTATCTTCTCCAAAACCTCATCGTTGCTCACACGCTCGGTCAATGATATCCTCAGCATCCTTCTATCTCCGCCGCCTTGAGTCTCTTCTTCATCTTTGATGAGACCGTCCAACATTCGCATCTCAGTACTCGCTTCTTTGTTATCAAAGAAATCCTCCTGTCTTGTAATATCCTGTCTAGCTTTTGGAATGTGTCTTTGGTCATCCCAATACGTCTTCGCATTTCAGCGTCGAACTTGTCCTCTGTGAAAACACTTCCTAGATATTTAATTTTCCTCATCTGCTTCATTTTAGTGTTCCCGACCTGTAAATCGCATTTCAGGGTCATCCTTTTAGTGATGACCATGGCCAACATTATATTCCCATATAAAACACATACTTAGGCTCGCGAAACAGGGCCGCCTCGAAGATATATATCAAAAACATCTTTTTCGCACCTCCAGTATTTATTTCCCTCCAGATAAATGGTATTTGATGCGTGTATTTTAATACAGTGTGATTTTTTATGAGACTGTAAAAGCAACTTGTTACTTATCTAATAAAATCTGAACTTTAGGAAAAAAAAATAGAAAGTAAGAACCAAAGAAAAAAACAATAAGAAAAAGGGAAGAAGAGAATGAAAGAAAGAAAAACAGACGATAAGAAAATTGGAAGAAGAGAATGGAAAGGAAGGAAAGACGATTAGAAAAGGGAAGGCGAGAACTGAAGGAAGGAAAGAAAAAGACGATACGAAAGAGGGAAGGTAATAAAAAAGACGAAAAGAAAAAGAGAGGAAGAGAAGGGGAGAAAGGAAGTTGACAAAAAATGAATAAAAGAAAGAAATAAGAGCCAGGGACACAAGCCATCAACCACAGAGAGATTCTTGGACATGGGAAAAGTAGAACAATAGGTGGGTTTGCAAGTCCTACGGAATTATCCATGGCGATACACACCATTCACATATGGTGACCTGATGATTGCATCTAGCATGAAACAGTCTGTCGCCTCTGAGTTGACTTCGATGTTCACTTTTATATTTACATACGCTTTATCTCTGATTATCACTTTATTCTATAAATATAGCACATCTCAAAAAATATTTCTCTCCTCCCTCTCTCCATATATACATATATATATATACACATACATACATACATATATATATATATATATATATATATATATATATATATATATATATATATAAGAAAATATATTTTTAAGGTGTGCTATATTTATAGAATAAAAATCTCTCTCTCTCTCTCTCTCTCTCTCTCTCTCTCTATATATATATATATATATATATATATTTATATAAGGAAACAACAAGATATATTAAGGAATGAGTGAAATGGAGAAAATAGAAAAAGGAAAGAAAGAAACAATGAGAGGAAATAAAAAGTAAAGACAAAGAGAAAACAATGCAGGTAAACAGAGAGAAAGTGGGTGTGAAAGAAAAGGAAGGAATTGTAAACAGAAAAGAAAACGAATGGGCGAAAGAAGGATAAAAAAAAGCAACAAGGAAAAAAAAGGAAATTAATGAAAACCCGTATGCAAGTTAAAAGCAGTAAGGTGTTATAGTGGAACACACCTATTCTATCGTTAATAGAGTCTCCCACCGATAATAAGTAGGAGTAGTAATAGTAACGAGGCAATCGCTCATCGAGTCGGTCTGAGTTCAGTCTGAAGTCGGACGACCGGCTGACCGGTTGAACTCTCTCCCTTCGGGTGGGGAGGAACCCGAAAGAGGTTACGCCGAAGGGCGGATTCTCTTTCGGGGAGGTAAACCAACCCTGAACCCGTTTATACGGGTTCAATGGGCATATTTTTGGCCGAGCACACGGGCTCGGAGACCCCACGTTAAACCGGCCTTGTGCCATATGATGCCCTCGTGGGGGGGGTGACTAAATATAGTCGCTCAGGGGGTCGGTGAGTCAGTCTATGCCGGACGACCGTTAGTCGGATACTAAAGTATCAGCGACTACAACTAGATTTCTTTGCATCATACTTATATGAAGTTCCTAACGTTTTGTACGTCGAACCTATTTTAGGACCGACTTAGTACAAATACAAGCCTCCACTGTGAAATCGCTCTACAACAGAAGGCTAGACAGAAGACAAGAGAGGTAATCAACAAGAGAAAGAAATACATAAATGGAGGAACGTAAAAAGAAGGAAAGAAACGAAGGTAAAAGAGAAGAACAAAGAGGAAAAGGATGACGTATGAAAGGATGTCATCATAAAACGAATATAAATTTCATTCTTGTGTTTAATCCGTCCATTCTCTTTGTTAGAAAGTGGCGAGCTTGGTTCGTTTAAACGGGGCTAGCCTTGATTTTCTCTTTTAGGTCAACCTACGTCACATCGGGGTGGTTTCCTGTGGTGCCCTCCCCTTCGATAGGTTAGACAAGCTTTAGTATACCTAGTTAATGTGATTAAGTGTTGTTCCTGGTCTGTTCCCGGCTGCCTCTTTGGTTATGATTCAAGTTGAGATTCCCAACCTCCCCAGTTTGTTTTGCACCCCCTCCTTTTTTTTCATCTCGACTGGGTCAGCTTTATATTTTCCCATGCCTGTATTATTTTTATCTTTTTCCTACTCCCATAGTGAGAGAGCTTCTTGATTTTGTCCAAATGGCCTCTCCTTTTTGAGTGTTGGACGGGCCCTACTAACATTTAATTTACTTTGTGTTGAGTTTTAGTTTATTATTGGGTTCATCTCCCCCACTCTCATTCTTAGAATTGTATATATATATATATATATATATATATATAATTATTATCATTAAATTTTTAAGGCATGGAGGCGCATTGTGTAGGTTTCCCCTTGAGAGGATGTGGTATTATGGTGGATTGAGGATTGATTGGTGATGGAAGAGTTCTTATGGTGAATGTGGAACCCATAATGTGTGAATGGGTTGTGAATCGGATTAGCTAGGTATAAGATAGTTAGTGACGACCAGCCTTAATCACTCCTCATTTTGGCCTTGTGCCCTAATTGTATTTTATATACAATAAATATATCTCTTTGTTAGAAAAAAGATCAGCAGATTTTTTTTTTAAATTAGATTTTCAAAAAGAAAAAAAATAGAGAGAAATAAAACGATTCATATTTTAATTCATTTTTATTCAATTTACACGAAATTTTACAGATAAATTAAATTTGATATTTATTGTTTATCTTTCCCAATTTCCGTGTAGTTATTGACTTCGATGAATTGATTTCGAACAAATGTATCCCTGAAATAATAATAATAATAATAATAATAATAATAATAATAATAATAAAAACCTATCAGATTGTGGATAGGGTTGTTGTGGCGGAGCACAGAGTCAATCTGAAAAAGAAAGTGAACAAAAAGGAAAGAGATAAGTATCTTGAGCTTTCCAGATAACTGAGGAAATTGTAAGAAATGAATATGACAGTCGTGACAATCGTTATTAGAACACTGGGGTATGGTACCAGAGCGCTTAGGAAAAAGAACGAAAGAACTGCAAAGCATAGAAAGAGTTGGACTATCCAGATGATAGCATTGTTTGAAATAACTAGGATACGGATGAGAGTGCTGGAGGCATACTGTCACTTGTTCTCCGATGTAAGTTCTCAGTTTTTAATGGTGGAAACACTCAACCAGATAATAATAATAATAATAATAATAATAATAATAATAATAATAATAATGTGACTGATATACCCTTATTAGACTGGAAGTTATTATGGGTATATTGGAATGTATAATAACCACTTTGCTGGCGTGATTCTCTTTCACTAATAATAATAATAATAATAATAATAATAATAATAATAATAATAATGTGACTGATATACCCTTATTAGACTGGAAGTTATTATGGGTATATTGGAATGTATAATAACCACTTTGCTGGCGTGATTCTCTTTCACTAATAATAATAATAATAATAATAATAATAATAATAATAATAATAATGTGACTGATATACCCTTATTAGACTGGAAGTTATTATGGGTATATTGGAACGTATAATAACCACTTTGCTGGCGTGATTCTCTTTCACTAATAATAATAATAATAATAATAATAATAATAATAACTAATAATAATAATAATAATGTGACTGATATACCCTTATTAGACTGGAAGTTATTATGGGTATATTGGAATGTATAATAACCACTTTGCTGGCGTGATTCTCTTTCACTAATAATAATAATAATAATAATAATAATAATAATAATAATAATAATAATGTGACTGATATACCCTTATTAGACTGGAAGTTATTATGGGTATATTGGAATGTATAATAACCACTTTGCTGGCGTGATTCTCTTTCACTAATAATAATAATAATAATAATAATAATAATAATAATAATAATGTGACTGATATACCCTTATTAGACTGGAAGTTATTAAGGTATATTGGAATATAATAACCACTTTGCTGGCGTGATTCTCTTTCACTAATAATATAATAATAATAATAATAATAATAATGTGACTGATATACCCTTATTAGACTGGAAGTTATTATGGGTATATTAATAAAATAATATAATAACCAATTTGCTGGTGTGATTCTCTTTCACTAATAATAATAATAATAATAATAATAATAATAATAATAATGTGACTGATATACCCTTATTAGACTGGAAGTTATTATGGGTATATTGAATGTATAATAACCACTTTTTGCTGGCGTGATTCTCTTTCAATAATAATAATAATAATAATAATAATAATAATAATAATAATAATGTGACTGATATACCCTTATTAGACTGGAAGTTATTATGGGTATATTGGAATGTATAATAACCAATTTGCTGGTGTGATTCTCTTTCACTAATAATAATAATAATAATAATAATAATAATAATAATAATAATGTGACAGATATACCCTTATTAGAGTGGAAGTTATTATGGGTATATTGGAATGTATAATAACCACTTTGCTGGCGTGATTCTCTTTTCTAATAATAATAATAATAATAATAATAATAATAATAATAATGTGACTGATATACCCTTATTAGACTGGAAGTTATTATGGGTATATTGGAATGTATAATAACCACTTTGCTGGCGTGATTCTCTTTCACTAATAATAATAATAATAATAATAATAATAATAATGTGACTGATATACCCTTATTAGACTGGAAGTTATTATGGGTATATTGGAATGTATAATAACCACTTTGCTGGCGTGATTCTCTTTCACTAATAATAATAATAATAATAATAATAATAATAATAATAATTGACTGATATACCCTTATTAGACTGGAAGTTATTATGGGTATATTGAATGTATAATAACACTTTTGCTGGCGTGATTCTAGACTAATAATAATAATAATAATAATAATAATAATAATAATAATAATAATAATGTGACTGATATACCCTTATTAGACTGGAAGTTATTATGGGTATATTGGATGTATAATAACCACTTTGCTGGCGTGATTCTCTTTCACTAATAATAATAATAATAATAATAATAATAATAATAATAATAATGTGACTGATATACCCTTATTAGACTGGAAGTTATTATGGGTATATTGGAATGTATAATAACCACTTTGCTGGCGTGGTTCTCTTTCACTAATAATAATAATAATAATAATAATAATAATAATAATAATAACCCTTAATAATATTATGGGACTGATAACCACCTAATAATAATAATAATAATAATAATTAATTAGACTGGAAGTTAGTTATTATGGGTATATTGGAATGTATAATAACCACTTTGCTGGCGTGATTCTCTTTCACTAATAATAATAATAATAATAATAATAATAATAATAATAATAATGTGACTGATATACCCTTATTAGACTGGAAGTTATTATGGGTATATTGAATATAATAACCACTTTGCTGGCGTGATTCTCTTTTCACTAATAATAATAATAATAATAATAATAATAATAATAATAATAATGTGACTGATATACCCTTATTAGACTGGAAGTTATTATGGGTATATTGGAATGTATAATAACCACTTTGCTGGCGTGATTCTCTTTCACTAATAATAATAATAATAATAATAATAATAATAATAATAATGTGACTGATATACCCTTATTAGACTGGAAGTTATTATGGGTATATTGGAATGTATAATAACCACTTTGCTGGCGTGATTCTCTTCACTAATACTAATAATAATAATAATAATAATAATAATAATAATAATGACTGATATACCCTTATTAGACTGGAAGTTATTATGGGTATATTGGAATGTATAATAACCAATTTGCTGGCGTGATTCTCTTTAATAATAATAATAATAATAATAATAATAATAATAATAATAATGTGACTGATATACCCCTTATTAGACTGGAAGTTATTATGGGTATATTGAATGTATAATAACCACTTTGCTGGCGTGATTCTCTTTCACTAATAATAATAATAATAATAATAATAATAATAATAATAATGTGACTGATATACCCTTATTAGACTGGAAGTTATTATGGGTATATTGGAATGTATAATAACCACTTTGCTGGCGTGATTCTCTTTCAATAATAATAATAATAATAATAATAATAATAATAATAATAATAATAATGTGACTGATATACCCTTATTAGACTGGAAGTTATTATGGGTATATTGGAATGTATAATAACCACTTTGCTGGCGTGATTCTCTTCACTAATAATAATAATAATAATAATAATAATAATAATAATAATGTGACTGATATACCCTTATTAGACTGGAAGTTATTATGGGTATATTGGAATGTATAATAACCACTTTGCTGGCGTGATTCTCTTTCACTAATAATAATAATAATAATAATAATAAATAATTAAGTTAATATATTGGAACGTATACCATTTGCTGGCGTGATATTCACCTAATAATTAGACTGACTGATATACCCTTATTAGACTGGGTTATATGGGAATTGGAATAATAACCACTTTGCTGGCGTGATTCTCTTCAATAATAATAATAATAATAATAATAATAATAATAATAATAATAATAATGTGACTGATATACCCTTATTAGACTGGAAGTTAGTATGGGTATATTGGAATGTATAATAACCACTTTGCTGGCGTGATTCTCTTTCACTAATAATAATAATAATAATAATAATAATAATAATAATAATGTGACTGATATACCCTTATTAGACTGGAAGTTAGTATGGGTATATTGGAATGTATAATAACCACTTTGCTGGCGTGATTTCTTTCACTAATAATAATAATAATAATAATAATAATAATAATAATAATGATATACCCTTATTAGATAAGTTATTATGGTATATTGATATACCCTGTATTAGACTAATAATAATAATATAATAATAATAATAATAATTAATGTGAATATTAGATAAGTTAATGGGTATATATTGGAATGTATAATAACCACTTTGCTGGCGTGATTCTCTTTCACTAATAATAATAATAATAATAATAATAATAATAATAATAATAATGTGACTGATATACCCTTATTAGACTGGAAGTTAGTATGGGTATATTGGAAATGTATAATAACCACTTTGCTGGCGTGATTTCTTTCACTAATAATAATAATAATAATAATAATAATAATAATAATAATGTGACTGATATACCCTTATTAGACTGGAAGTTAGTATGGTATATTGGAATGTATAATAACCACTTTGCTGGCGTGATTCTCTTTCAGATAATAATAATAATAATAATAATAATAATAATAATAATAATGTGACTGATATACCCTTATTAGACTGGAAGTTATTATGGGTATATTGGAAATATAATAACCACTTTGCTGGCGTGATTCTCTTTCAATAATAATAATAATAATAATAATAATAATAATAATAATAATAATAATGTGACTGATATACCCTTATTAGACTGGAAGTTAGTATGGGTATATTGAAATATAATAACCAATTTGCTGGCGTGATTCTCTTTCAATAATAATAATAATAATAATAATAATAATAATAATAATGTGACTGATATACCCTTATTAGACTGGAAGTTAGTATGGGTATATTGGAATGTATAATAACCACTTTGCTGGCGTGATTCTTTCACTAATAATAATAATAATAATAATAATAATAATAATAATAATAATGTGACTGATATACCCTTATTAGACTGGAAGTTAGTATGGGTATATTGGAATGTATAATAACCACTTTGCTGGCGTGATTCTCTTTCAATAATAATAATAATAATAATAAT